AAGATCTATGTTGCAACTGTCAGGTGCTTCTGACAATAAAATAAAGAATAATAGTTCTATTGTATTTAATGTGTAACTTTTCCCTTTCTATCTCTGGGTGGCTCCTCCAGAGTTTTGATGATTGGGGCAGAGGAGGAAGGTGCTACCTCATTTCGGGTCTTTCCATTCTGAAGGGTCAGCTTCACTGGAGTCCAGATGCTTCACTGGAGTCCAGACATCAGTATAATATTGATGTCACCACCAGCATTTCTCAAGGTGCCCTGAGGGGTTGATTTGGGTGTGAGTGTGGTTGTGGTATCCACTTCGCCATCAGCACAGATAAGACGCACAACTTTGATTTCCTTGGAGAGTCATGATAAATATGGCTGGGGTCAGATGAACCTGGATGCCAGACCATTGAAGCAAGTTATACTTTTGTCTCCTCCAAGCCAAAAGTTAAGAGTCAGTCATCGTTAATGAAACAATTCAGTTGGATATTTCATACAGAGTGCATCCTGGTATAATGGAAATAGCATGAACCAAAAATTAGAAAACCTGGATCCTATCTGGGTTCTTTATTCCATACTGATCATTTACCCTTAAGCTTGCTTCTTCTATTGTCTGAGTCTCAGTTTGCTCATCTGTCGGATAGGGGTGACAATATTGACCATGATTATGTTACAGGATTACAGGGAAGATGACGATGAGATAGTGAATAGGACTCTTTTGATGAAGTCTAATGCATTATGTAAGGTGATGTTATTAACCATAAAATAACATCAAAACAGTAATAATGATTCCTGAAAAGATTTGCAGTTAGAAATGCAAATAGGTTTATATGTGAATGTTCTAATTATCTGAATCTGTGCAGCTTGTTGCTGTGGATATCATAACAAATTAGCCTTTTTTTTTTTTTAAGTAGGCTTCATGCCCAGCATGGAGCCCAATGTAGGGCTTGAACTCACAACCCTGAGATCAAGACCTGAGCTGAGATCAACTGACTGAGCCACCCAGGTGCCCCAAAATTTAGTCTTTTATTCATTAGATCAAGACAACCTGCTAAGACCTTTTACTTATTTATTAAACTTTTTTTTTGAGCTGTTTTAGGTTTACAGAAAATGAATGAAAAGCAGGTTTCCCTTATGCGCTCCCAATGCTTCTTCCCACTTATTTCCCCTGATATTCACATCTGGTGTTAGTGTGGTGCATTTGTTACAATTGATGAGCCAGTATAGATACATTATTATTAACTACAGTCCACAATTTGGGTTAGGGTTCACTCTTGGTGTTGTACGTTTTGTGGGTTTTGACAAATGTATAAGACATGTATTCACCATTATAGTATCATCCAGAATAGTTTCACTGCCTTAAAAGTCCCATCTGTTTAACCCTCTCTGCCTCTCCCTTGAAGCTCTGGCAGCTACTGATCTTTTTACTGTCTTCTTAATTTTAATTAAATTTTGCCTTTCCCTTAATTTTGCATAGCTGGAATCATGTAGTCCTTAGCCTTTTCACATTGGTTTCTTTCACTTAATAATATACACTTAAGTTTCCTCCATGTCTTTTTGTGGCTTGAGCGCTCGTTTCTTTTTATCACTGAATTAGATTCCACTATCCGGATGGACCACAGTTGGTTTATCTGTTCACCTTCCAAGGACATCTTGTTTGCCTTCGGGTTTTGGCAATTACGAAGAAAGTGGCTATAAACATCCGGGTGTGGGTTTTTGTGTGGACAGTAGTTTTCAACTCCTTTGGGTAGATATCAAGGAGCGGGACTGATGGAGCATAATAGGGTAAGAGTTTGCTTAGTCTTGTGAGAAACTACCAAATTGTCTTCCAAGGTGTCTGTGACATTATGTGTCCTCATCAGTCTTGGGTGCTGTCAGTGTTTTGGTTTTGACCATTCTAATATGTGTGTAGTGGTCACTCATTGTTTGTAATTCTCGAATAACCTATGGTGTTCAGCAGCTTCTTGTATGGTTATTTGCCATCGTACATCTTCGGTGAGGTATCTGTTCAGATCTTTTGCCCATTTTTAAAAATTGGGTTGTTTGCTTTCTTACCGTTTAAAGAGTTCTCTTTATATTTTGGAGACCAGCTCTTTATCTGGTACTTAGTTTGCAAAGACTACTCTTCTCTTCTATGGCTTGTCTTTGCATTCTCTGAATACTTGTTTATCTTTAATTATTTAACCTCAACATCATCATCCAACTCTTTTAAAGTACTAAGGTACCTGCAGGTTTATAGCTATTAAAGAGGATGAACAAACCGAATGCTCCATTCCTTTTCACCATTGACTGGTTTTGCAGTCGGGTGCGTTTGTAGAGGGGATCAAGTCATCAAGCCCATCAGCGGCTCCATCTCAGACCTCACGTTCTTAACCAGGATCCTTGCTATCATCTGAGAGTCAGCCTGCGGTCTGTCGGAGTTGGCCGGGTCTTGCTGAGCTGATTGGAGCTGCCGACATTTTTGCTGACTGGAGTCATGCTGTCTTTGCCAGTTTGCTGGAATAGACACAGACACCGATTGGGTCACGCTGAAGACATTCCTGTCTTGTGAAGCAAGTCTGTTTGTATTTTAGGTTTGCCAGGACTAATGAATTAAAACATTTGGACTCTCCACAACTTGCTGTTTATCAATGCCTCTGACAGGAGGAGGGTTTTCTTTTGCACTTGCTTTTTCTAGAAGCATGACAACATCCTGGCTGGTGGAGAGGCAAGGAAAGGAGAGAGGGGTTGCGGAGGGAAGCGGAGCAGGGAGGCCCGTGGGACGCAGGGGTCTGGAGGAGAGCAGGTAGCAGTGGACTGCCCTGACAGCTGTCGTTGCCCCTCAGGCTGTCACTGGCTGCTATGCAGCAGGTGCAGGCTGCTCTCTCACTAGGTCTTCGCTCCACAAAGGCGACGACTGGCCAAGGCAGTGGCTGGCCCTGGATTACACAAGTGCAGACACTCATCTAAGTGAGGTAAGGCAGCAGGTGTGAAGACCGAACTAAACACTCGGGGCACCAGCAACTTAACCGAAGCTCTGTTAACAGCCGAGAGGAGGACAGCAGTGGTCCATTCCCATAGGCGGTGTGATGAAAAGGCAAGCTGGTTTAGGAGCTCTCCTGGCCAACACCGTGTGGAACTCAAAATCCACCCCCCTTGGCTGCTGTCATCCTTTCCGAGGCAGGCAGATGTTCTCCATTGTGTGGAGGGGAGGGGCTCTAATGAGCTGTGTTTACCAGTTTCATTTCCCGGGTGCTGGAAACCTTGAGGCAAATTTCCACCTCTCGCGCTTTATTTCTTGGTGCAGGGAAGCATTGGGAGATTTAGCCAAAAGAGGAGCGCTTTTCATCCTCTGATGTTAGGATAAAATGGGTCGGTGATGGGACAGTGCATAACAATCAGACTTTTTCTCTTAGCTACAACTTTAACGGGTTTTTTACTGTTTGTTTTGTTAAATTTGAGACAGTCTGTTCTATTCCCTAGGAACAGGTGGCTAACAAGATGGTTGATTCTAAGCAGAGGAGACTACACAGAAATGTATGTCAGAGCTAAGATAAAACATATCCTGAGTCAAGTAACAGCAATTTTATATTACCCTTTTCTTACGTTGAATGTTTCATGTTATTACTTTTTTTTTTTTTTTTTAACTTAGAAGGACATGACTCGGAGTGCTTTATGGTTCATTGCTATTTGTGGTTTTAAATGAATGGGCCAAATATGATTCTAACTGGGTGATAAACAGTTGCTGGTTTTTCTCCAAAGCTATACTAGGTGTTTAATATAATCCTGTTCTCTTTCCATACACTGGGTAGGATGATTCCATATGTGTGTTTGTCTAAATATACGTGTGTGTGTGTGTGTATGCATTTGAGTTTGCTCTATAAATAAGTGTAAAAACAAAATTCAGTGTTCTGGACACTATTTTTAGATACAAAAAAGTTATGGGAAAGAGTTGGAAACCTTGCTCTGAGAAAATGTCCTGATAAACAGTTCCCAGAATCTTGCTGAGGATGGTTAAAGAGATGATTTATATTTTGCCATTTTTAGAGACGTTTTCCTAAAAATATCACTCAGAGTTTTTGGTTTACTGTCTACATGAGAAGGAAAGTAGAGAGTTTAGGGAAGCATGATTAAAAATAGAAAAGTTACACATATGTATTTAAATAATGAAGATATCATGTATTTATAACAATCTCTTTTCCTTAGTCCCGTTGTACAAAAGTTATCAAATATCTTGGTAAAATGTATTTGGGCTAAATTCTATTATTATAACAAGGAAATATGCATGTATTTTTGCCCATCCCAACTCATCTGTAGGATGTTTTTCCATTCATTCGATCTTAGTTTATTAATGATAATTTCACAGGTACAGTAGAACATCAATAGCATGTTTTTAAGTTCTGTCTTTTGCTTGTATCATACATTGTTAAGATGTACAACCTGATACATGTTTGATAGGTTCACAGGCAGTTAATTAGATATTTAAAGCACATAATATTCTTACTATACCTGTGGGATATTTTAAAATAGTCTTTGGTATTCTTGAAGTGGTCCTTGATACTCATTCTTTATCACCCATTCTTTACCACTCCATAATTCAGATCAATAATTCAGGTCCAACTTAGGCTTTTGAGTGTGACAAGCTAATTTAATATGAAGCCATCTGATGCCCTATTAGGACTTCTGTATCCTCCTCAATTAAAAATAAAACACTATATAAGACCTGGAAGGGCCAGGGTTGGACTAGTCAGTGTGAAGGGATACTAAAAAAGTGAGGTGGGTGGAGATTTTGCTCCATCTTGTATATTTCATTCTAGATATGTATTTCCAAAACAAGTTTTTTTTATAAGCCAGAAAAAGAATTTTAAATGGGGCAGGTGAATACTTTCCATGTAGGGAAAGAAAGCTAGGAACTGGGAGTATCTTCAAAATAAGAAAGTAATGCTTACTAACTTTCCCTCCAATTTCCAAGATCCTCTGAGTATTTGAGGGATGACTTGGGTAAGTGACAATGGCTCTCTCTTGTCCTTACAGCTGGAAGACCCAGGGGAAGGCCAAAGCTCAGGTGCCCACATGATCAGCACAGCCAGGGTACCTGCGGATAAGCCAGTACGCATCGCCTTCAGCCTCGATAATGCCTCAGGTACGCTCTGCATGCAGGGAGAGGGCCACCTCCCTGCCCGTCACCGCTTTGCGGTCATCTTTTCCTGTTCCACAAAGGGTGTTTAAAAATGGATGCCTGGGGATGCTTGGGTGGCTCAGCCGGTGAAGCATCTGCCTTCAGCTCAGGTCATGATCCCGGAGTCCTGGGATCGAGCCCTGCATCGGACTCCCTGCTCCACGGGAAGCCTGCTTCTCCCTCTCCCTCTGCTGCTCCCCCTGCTTGTGCTCCCTCTCTCTGGCAAATGAATAAATAAAAAAAAATCTTTAACAAAAAGAAAAAATGCATGCCTGGCATGACCTAATGATGGGGCGTGTGATTTTTCATCAAGCATTGTCGGAGCGTGGCTTCCAGAAATGCCTCTGGTGATGCCGCCCAGCCTCCGATCCTCTGGGTGCTTTAGCACATTTCTCCTTCCTTTTTACTTTCCCCATTTAGCTTTCTTTTATTATAAAATTCCCAGGGCTATAACAATTCCTAATGATTCCAATGTATGTCATCACTGAAACTGTGTGAGGAGACGTTTATTAAAGCGCTGGCAGTTGGTTAGGTGATGTAAAAATATCACGGTTCCAGCAGCATTTCTTTTCTTTTTTTTTTTTTAAGATTTTTATTTATTTATTCATAAGAGACAGAGAGAGAGACAGAGGCAGAGGGAGAAGCAGGCTCCCCGCGGAGCAGGGAGCCCGATGCAGGACTTGATCCCAGGACCCTGGGATCATGACCTGAGCCAAAGGCAGACGCTTAACCGACTGAGCCACCCAGGCGTCCCCCAGCAGCATTTCTTGGAGCCCAAGTTCCAAAGCCTGGTTTCTCGCTGGTGCTTCCACAGTTCAGGCTGAACAAACAGACTGCAGCCAGAGTGATGAATGGGACAGGTGAGGCAGACCCTCTTGAAATAGTAAGGTCTGAGGTGAGGCTGCCATAGTTGGAGTCCTTTGTCATGACTCCCTTCAGTGACCCCTTAACACACATATGGAATTACACCACCTATGACGGGGACCCCAGGTGGTGTGAGGTCACAGACGTGAGGAGGGGAACTCTTGGATCTCTGTCACTGGCATCAGCCTTGGCTCTCAGTCTGTCATCGCTTAAAATCCACAATCACACGCTCAAACAACATTACTGTTCCAACCTTGGGTCTTTTGGGGGCGGATTCTGTTTACCTATCAATCGATCAATCAATCAATCAGCCATCTATTTTTCTTCCTACACTGCCCATGTAGGGGTAATATTTTAAGAAGTAATAATTGACAAGAAGCAAGTTCATCCCTAAAATAATGCAGAGTAAGGATCTGGGCTCTGTGAAGTCTGGCACTATACAGCCAATTCAGGCTTTACTTACACCAAGCGATTATGGTGGTGGCCCGCCTGCCCCCGTCTTCCTGGGTTGTGCAGCCCCCAGTGGAGGATTTGTTCTAGAGTAGGATGAGGTGAAGCCTTGACTCTTCATTGTCTGTGCTTTCACCCCTCTTTCCCTGGCCTGCTGTTGTCCTGTTTCTCCACTCGGGTTGCCTTGAAACACAACGGTGAAGGGAAATCCTCCCCAAAGGCAAACCAATCCATCCCAACAAAGAAATGATGACTAACATTAATTGCCTCTCTTCTGTATTAGGCATTCATATGTATTATTTCATATCTCTAAGATAACCATGCAATGTAGGGGCGCCTGGCTGGCTCAGTGGGTAGAGCATGTGACCCTTGATCTTGGGGTCCTGAGTTCAAGCCCCATACTGGGTGGAGAGATTACTTAAATAACTAAGTAAATATTAAAAACAATAACTATGCAATGTAGACATTAGTATTGCCAACTTGCAGACACAGAGCTTGAGGTCCAAAGACCACACTGTTAGTAGGTAACAGAGTTATGATTTAAATGCAGGTCTCTAGACTTATGAATCTGAACTCTATTATTCTATATTACTACTCTAAAAAGAAAAAGAAAAGCCCCTCCTGCTTTTATGCATTTCATAAATGTAAGATTTTGAGGAATAGTTCATGCTTGAGTGGCTAGCTTTCAAGACAGATACGTGTAAGCTCCCAAATCTGGGAGAAAGAAGTATAATTTACTTCCTTGTGATCCTGTCCCATGTGAGCAGAACAAGTGTTGTTACAATCAGCAGTCTTACAAAGACGATTTCAGTATATAAAGCTTATTTATTCCAAGCAATATTATTATATCATAATTTTGGACGAGACAGATAAATATACTGTTTCTTCATCTTTATTAATTTATTAAGATTTTATTTATTTTTGTGAGAGAGAGAGAGAGAGAGAGAGAGAGAGAGAAGATGCACGAGCAGGGGAAGGGGCAGAGGGAGAAGCAGAACTCCCCACTGAGCCAGGAGCCCGATGTGGGATTTGATCCCAGGACCCTGGGATCATGACCTGAGCCAAAGACAGACGCTTAACCGTCTGAGCCACCCAGGCACCCTCCTCGTCTTTATTTTAACAAAATTTAATTTATGTACAGAAAAGAGCCATGGAGAGGTGAATCTTGATCTTTGGGTTGCATAAATAGATTCTTCCTTGAAATACAAAATGCACAACTTGTCATTAATTTGCCACCATCCTTTGAAGGATATCGGCCCCTGACTAGGAGCTCTTGTATGTTTTTTTAACCAGTCAATTTAGATTGATTCGTTCCAGTCTTTCAAATGTCCCAAGAATGCCCACTTTTGAAATTCATGTTTTTTAATACGGTAGCTTCAAAAAGGGGTTGTCATTTATTTCAAGTAATTCCTACTCTCTGGTTCCACAAAAAGATGCTTGGGAAGATTTATAAAGAAACTGCTAAGGGCGCCTGGGTGGCTCAGTTGGTTAAGCGACTGCCTTCGGCTCAGGTCATGATCCTGGAGTCCCGGGATCGAGTCCCGCATCGGGCTCCCTGCTCAGCGGGGAGTCTGCTTCTCCCTCTGACCCTCCCCCCTCTCATGTGCTCTCTCTCTCTCATTCTCTCTCTCGCAAATAAATAAAATCTTAAAAAAAAAAAATCCAAAAAAAAATTAAAAAAAAAAAAAAGAAACTGCTAAAATTAAAAAAGAACTTTTTCCTATGATCTATGTGTCCTCATATCTCTAAAAAGGCATCTAACTAGAGAATCCAAGGCAGGAGTGGGTTTCTGTGTTTCTCAACCTTTCTTAAAATAATGACCTGAGAGCACTCACCAAAAATACATGTTCCAAGGCCCTACTCCTATATATTCTGGGGCAGTAGGGACAGATGGAGGTCCAGCAATCTGTATTTCTGCATGCATATGAAGTTGTGAGTGCACAGAAAGATGCTTTGCAGATATTTGGAGACACTCCCTCTGAATTCTTGACTACGGAGCCCGTGGAGTGTCACGGAGAACAACACTTGCCATCACGCATGCTGTGCATGCCTTTTGAATTCCAGTGCATTCTGGACCACACATTTAGGGGGAAAACAAAGGCAAGCATCCTAGATTTCCATAGTAAATGGGGAAACTAAGATGGAATTTTGGTAAGTAATTCCATATTTATGTATTTATCACTCAGGGGTAAGCAGAGTCCATGAGAAAGGAGTGCTCATTCTTTTCATTATATTAGGCTTTTTTTTTTTTTGCATATTTTTCTGAGATGATTTGGTGTAGAGGTTAAGGACATAGGGCTTGGAGTCCTCAAGACATGGTTTCTAGACCCATCTCCATCGCTATTTGTGTGATCTTGGGTAAGTCACTCAATTTTGCTGAACTTCAGTTTCCCACAAGGTGTATATAGTGATAATTCACACAGTGGTTGTAAGAATTAAATAAGACTATATAGGTAAAGCATTTAGCATAGTGCTTGACACAAATTAAGGACTCGACTGGTCCCTGTATCTATGATAATTGATTCTGGAGTATTAAGGAGAATATAAGCATCTTAAGCAGTTTTAAGGATTTGGGGTACCCCTGCCTCTCCTCTTATCAATTAGCTGAACTTAGTTTCTATGCTTTAGTGCTCTCCCAAAGGTGGGTGAGATGTGCAAATACGAAGTATGGCATGATCGCTCCTGTGGGTTTCATAAGGCAAAGAGAGTTGAGGAAAAATCTGTGTCACCCAGAGCAGATGTGAACAGCTTCTTGGGAAATGTGATAGTCAACCTGCTCTTGAAGACAGGTGGGGTATTGACAGGCAGTGTAGGAAAGGTGCCATCTCTGGGTACCAGGTACCAAAAATGGGGGCTATCCAACTTTTAACCATTCTTCCTTTTCCTTTCAAACAAAAAGACTGAGCAAAACCTAAGAGTCAGGAAGAGCATGATATATCCATCAAATAGTAAAATTCTTGTCAACTGGAGCAGAGGTTTGAACGGTGGAAGAGTGGCATGTCATTTAACGAATGATGCTTTGAGCTTTACTTTGAATATCTGTGTATATAGCCATCAACTAGAGTTAACAATATAATCCTAAAAGTTCAACAACAGAGTTTGGATTTGATCAGGAACAATCGAGTGTCAAAAGTTCTTGAGCAAGGAAATGATAGGATGAAAATGGTAAATGTTCGATTGGTGGAACAGTCTGGAATGTGTAGAGATGAGAAAATGGAAGAGGCTTTTTATAATGGTACAGAGACAAAGTACTGAGTGCCTGGATCAGACGATGGAATGGGATGGCTGAATTCAGAGTACATTAGGAAGGGAGGGTTGAAAGGACTCGGTGACAGACTGGCTCTGGATGGGGAGTTGATCATGGCTTACTGATGGCAGAATGTGCCACAAGACTCCAAATAGACTGTGGACCTCCAGGGGCTTAAATACAGGAAGCAAATTTTTAAGGGGGGAGAAAAAGCCCTTTAAAATACAATCACCACTTCTAGCCTATCATCAGAAGCCTTCATTAAGTAACACTTAGCTAACCACAGTTCCTGGAGGCAGCAATGGCTATTTTTAACAAACTAATGATATGATTGACATTACTTCTAACCTGGGAATTCCAAAGAGTTAACTTTCTAAATTGGGACATTCATGGAGTTAGTTTT